CTTTCCAGCACATCGGAAAGCCCTCGGAGCGGTCAGCTGAAACGCAACTTGTCGGGCGATATTGACTTATCATCTCCAAGCCCGAGCACATTGTACCAGAATCCGCCTCTGCACGCGAAATACTTCCGCCCTAATAAGAGTCCAGTAATGTCGCTGTTGCCAAAAAGCACGGTGGCGCATCTCTTTCATGCAACAGTGCAGTACAGCACAGTACCCTAGGGTACTGCCCAACACATGCTGTCTTAAAGGAGGCCCTGTGGGCCTCCTTTAAGACAGCATGGACGGGCATGTTTGGACATGTATGGACGTCAGCGTGCACCTGATTGGTCCATTTAATACTTTTCTTAACAGTATGATGGCGCACACAAAGTTAAAATAATGGAATCTGTCGCTACCAACGTGCCATACGAGAGCACACCATTGGCTGTCGCCTACCGAATAAGTGCGATTGAATTCAATCTTGATCCAATTTAGCATACATTAAAATTCAATTTAATCATTTTATTGACGTCCCTGAATGCCAGTACACGGGGATCGCGATATAGTGCCTCCCTCTGTCAGTGGGCCGAAAACGGCACTATATCGAACCAGGCACTGTAAGACAATGAGATTTGCGGCTTTTTTGCAGCCACTTCCTTGCATCACTGCTCAGAAAGACCGTTCGCTTCCCTATCGATAGCGCGGTATGATGCACCCCTTGAGCCAATTTACGGATCACGGCGCGCTGACACAATACATTAAATTATTGGACATGTAATATTTTGAAAATCGCAAACATATACATCCAAACATGGCTGTCCATGCTGTCTTAAAGGAGGCCCACAGGGCCTCCTTTAAGACACAAGCTGCACAAAGTTTGTGCAGCTTGTGTGTGCCACAAACATACAACGGGTGTGCATGTGGGTAAGGTACTCACTACTGTACGTGTACCAATCGGAGGGAGTCTCATAAGATATTGTACACTCGATATGACAGTTTTCCTACTGTATAAGATGGACTGTTGTGAATCGACCCACGTCACGACATATGGAAGTATTTAATGAAATAATACGTACAGATGGAACACGTACGCATACGTTGATTATGAAAGTGATATTACTCGCAAGAGCACAGAACGCATACCGCCGTCGGACGTCGCAACCGTTCGGGAAGGTCGGTTGATGTTGAACGCAGATATTTGATACCCGAGGAGTCACAGCGCGAGGAAGAGACGCGGACGAGAATAATGAACATGAAGAGTACACAGAGATGAGAACAGCAAACTGCGTTTGCATATGATTACGCAGGGAATATCCGTATGCACGGACGCTACAGACGATGACACTGAGACCAAAGATGAGGTCAATGCAGGGTGCAGCACACCAAAGGACATAACTCAATTGACAAAAGACAAAGTGCAGGACGGTGGGAGTGAATTGATATCCACACATGAATGAATGCAAAACGGCACAGGCGCATGCAAAGTCGGGACAATTGCAGAAGGAGCTTGTAAGGAAAGCGCATCGACATAGATAGAGGCAGAGGTGCGAAGAGGTATATAAGGACCGGATAGCAGAGGATAGACTAAGAAAAGAGACCGGGCAGTGGGTGGAGCAGACCGAAACACGCCGGCTAATGCTGAATACTTTGCCACGACCAGATCTCGATCCACCTGATATTAGTACGAAGGGAGTCCTTGCCACACGCAATTTATTTCCGGTATGACAAATACGGTTCCTACAGTTATGGGCCCAGCAACTCTCTTATCGGCATCACAAGGTGGATCGGGGAACACTTACCAGGCTCCGCATTTTACAACTAACAAGACATCGAAAGCAAGGTACAGAGACGCCATACGGATGTGGGTACAAATGCTGTTTATGTTTGCGGAGGTCGATTCAAAGTCAAAGGCGATGTTGAAAGGAGCAGGCCATCTTATCTACATGGCATGCGACGATTGTGCGCAACACATGTTGCGCAGTGCTGAAACATCTGGAACTCTATCACTTAAGGGACAAGCGAATGATCCATCCAGGGAGCAGTTGGTAGAAAGTATAATCAACGTTATTGCCAAGGAGACACCCACGGAGATAGTACGGATGGAAGTGGACCTGCTCACGGACATACAGATGTGTGTGCGTAAGAAGAATGAGAGTCCGCACAGCTTTGCGAATCGCTATAACAGAACAGTCGCCCGATACGTGAATCAGACTACGAAGTTGACAGACCTGACGAGTAGACAATTCGCGATCACACTTTTAAGGAATGCAATGTTAAATCCTGTAACGCTAAATGCGTTGATGTTCCAACTGACAACGAAGACTGATGATGCCAACAAGGGAAAAAGGGTTATGAACTACTGTATCGACACAGAGGTCTGCGCCAAACTAGCACAGTTCATCGACTCGGAGAACAAAGAAGGAAGTGTGCACCACGAAGCAATCAAGAAAGTATCGGTCCAGCTTAAGGATTTGATATCCAAATCAGAATCCGAATGCAAAATAACAATGTTTACAATGGAAGATGCCTCCCAATACCTGGCGCAGATAAAAGAAATTTCAGACGATCATTTGGAGGCACCAACAAAAAACTCAATGCTGGGAAAGCGCATCATGGAACAGGATCCGGACTCGCGAGCGGAACGAATTAAGAAGATGAAAACGGACAGTGTCTGTAAAGGATGCAGAAAGCAGGGACATTGGTATAAGGATAATCAGGAATGTCTAGAAAAGGTCCGCAGCAAGTACAGAATGAGGTATAAGGAGGGTCACCATAACGAGCCAAACCAAAAGAGAGGATGGGATGGCAAGCAGAAGGTAAACTCGTTTTTTCGACAAGGGGGTCAGTAAACCTCCGTACTGACATAAACCCTATACTTGACGAGGGAGCGCCAACGTCAACAGGAGGTCTCATTGATGCATCAAGGTTATGCGACTACCTAAGCATCCCACTCACACTACGGCCACCAAGGAATGAGTACCATCACGGGTGGGGCCAGAACTGCTCAGACTCCAGACCGATAAAGCACACTTGGGACCTTACAATTAACGACATCAACGGCAAACATACAGTGATTTCGTTTGATTTAGTCAACGGAAGTTCGCCGCTTATGGTGGGCCTAGATGTCAAACAATACGCAGATACAATGAACAGGACTTCACCAACCAGAATTGTGTTTAAAAGGCCGGGTGACACAGGTGAGCGTGCGTTTAACACATACATAGCAAAAGATGAGAATGGGAACGAGCGAATCCGATTTGAAATCGCACCGCATGCGCATTCTACGAAGAACAGTCTCATGGGATCAAAAACAGCCAGACAGGAGCTAAATATGGTCAAGCGTGTGCACCGATTCTCACACGCAACATCAAAAGAGATGCAGTGCCTGTTCAAAGATGCGAACCTGAATAGCAAAGCGATAGCAAAGGCATGTGAGAAGGTGCACCAGGCATGCGATATATGTGCATCAACGGGAAGACCGAAAGACAAAAAGAAGGTGTCACTGACACATGTAAATGAGGCGTTCAATAGCGAGATCCAAGCGGACTATGTGATGGTGTACATAAGGGACGAAAAATTCGAAGTCCTTAACATCATTGACCTGGGAACAAGGTACGGCGAGAGAGCCATAGCAAAGACGCGTTCAGCTGAGAACATGACGGAAATGATAGAGAAGGAGTGGATTTACCATCACGGGGCACCGGCTATGTTCAGCGCTGACCCTGAGTTCAGCAGACAATTCATGGACAGGTTCCTGACAACACATGGCATTCAGCTTAAACCACGACCATCCAGGTCATTAGCCAAGAACGGACGAATTGAACGAAACAACGGCACGTTTAAGTTAATCCTCTCCAGATTGACAAAGGAGAATAGCTCAGCACCACCTCGTACACTAGTAGCTAGGGCTTCGTTTCTGACCAACATGTTTCATGGTACCGCCACACTGAGTGCCTTCCAGTTGGCAAGAGGATACTCGCCGTCGATCCTTGGAATGCCAAGCAAAGATGTGTCTCAAGAATTGTTAGACGCGCACATTGAAGCAGTTGCAATAAGAGCAGTGCAAAAGGTCATGAGGTGTAAAGCACCAAACGTACACCCACACACGTCCTTTAAGCCAGGCATGAGGGTATGGGTCTTCTACAACACATCCAAACAAAACGAAAGACCTAGATGGGTAGAGGCGAGGGTAGTTGAGGCCAAAGAACACATACTGAAGTGTCGCAAAAACAAAAAGGGTTTGCCGATGAGAGTGGCATACGAACATGTGCGTATTGCACCGGAAGTGGAGCTGACACGCGAACTCATGGAGACGAGTTTAGAGGATGAGCTGTTGTCGATAGCGGATGAGAAGCACGACGAGGATCAGACGCATGAGGTAACGGTTATGGATACCGAAGCCACAATCGGCAGTGAGACTGCAGCAGACACACGCATGGGCGGTAATGACATAGAGCAAGACATGATTGATGAAGAGAGGGGTGGAAGAGGACAGACACCCAGTAGACAACAGGGCTCGTTCTTCAGCAATAATGTTTCTGGGAGCCCGGCGGAAGATATCGGCGACACCAAGCATGTAGAAATAGGGAATGACGATAAGCCAGTAGAGTTAGAATCAGAGGAACAGAGGGTTCTTGATGACATTTACGGAATATTAGGGTCGGAGCAGGTAACTAGAAGAAAGATGGAATGCGCTCCACCTTGGATCGTTGAGAAAGCAGTGGAAACGGAATACAAATCGAATTGGGCTAATTCGTACGTTGAGATGAAGGACGTGGACGTGCCAAAGGGTGCAAACGTCATAGGATCGCATATCGTTTATAAGGTGAAGGTCGAAGAAAACAACAGGAAGCGCCTAAAAGCACGCCTATGCCCTCACGGAAATCACGATAATGAGAAGGATAACATACGAAAAGACTCGGCTACCGCGCAGTTTGATGTGATACGGCTTCTGTGTAGCATTGCGGCAGTACTCGGATTTAAGCTAGGCATTCTAGACATCCAGGGGGCATATCTACAAAGCGGGCCCATTCGGAGAGACATATATGTAAGACCGCCGCCGGAGCTACGGACGAGGAAAGGAATGCTGTGGAAACTTACCAAGTTGCCGTATGGTATCACAGAGGCCGGTAGACAATGGGCTCGAGTCTTCGAGCAATGGCTGACAGAGAAGGCAGAGTTCAAGAGGGTCAATGGCGTGCCCCAGATGTTTTTGAAAAGGTATGATAATGGAAACATTAGCCTGATCCTAGCCAAGGTAACCGATGACCTTTTAATCGCAGGAGAACAAGAGAACATTGAGGGATTTAACAAATCGATTGCCCTGAGATTCCCGATAAGCAAAGTCATACTAGAAGGGCAAATCAAGTTCAATGGAGCGCACATACAGCAGGACAAGAACAGATCCATAACAATGTCCATGGACAGCTACATGCATGAGATTGGTCAGATCCAATTAGACAAGCCACGGATGAAATCTATGCAGTCGAGAGCTACGC